AGCAGGAAATGTTAAATTGAACACCATGGTTTATATGCCTGATGCCTACCTAACTCTCACATGCCAATGCGAAAGCTACATGCAAAAGAATTTGTTCCTCACCAAGGATTTTCAGTGTTTCATTCATAAATCAGTACTGAGATACAACAGGTAGGGGGATGGAGAGGGAGATGAGCTATGAAGTCCCGTCCCAGATCTGAATTTCTCCGAAGTCTCTCATACACGTGTTCTAGGAATCTAGGTGAAATCCTGGCTCCACTGAAGTATGTGGGAAAATCTACAATTGAACTCCAAGGATTTATTTAGAGAATATCAAGGTTGTGCAATTAATATTATTTGTGTTTATTACTATATTGCTTAGGCACTATACTAGGCACTGCATCCAGTATGTAGGTAGGCTTGCCTTGAATAACTTACACTCTAACCAGAGAAGACAGACAAGAAAAAAAAGACAGGGATCGACCAGAAATAAAGGACTCAGTGGCCAGGAAAGCCTTTAGCAAGGTTATGAAGTGATTTAAGATTGCTTTGGATGATGCAGGACTCTTTAAGAGCCCCTCCTCATTCAATCTGCATCTTATAAGATTGACATTAAAAGGGTCGTAGAGCAGTTTTTAAACTAAGGGCTGGGGGAAAGTCGACAGGTGTGGAAGGAGCACATGGATCGGACAGAGACATCTCTTGGGGAGGTTCTATTAATAGAGATGCTCTATGTCCTAGTCAGAAGGAGAGGATAGAAGAATGGGTCAGATCAAAGGAGTCACAAATTAAAGAGAGTCTAACACATCAGGAAATGGCAGACAGATAAATAGTGATAAATTATTAAAGTGCTTATACGCAAATTCTAGAAGTCTAAATAGTAAAATGGGTGAACTGGAGTGCCTAGTTTTAAAGGAGGATATTGATTTAATAGGCATCACAGAAACTTGGTGGAATGAGGACAATCAATGGCACACAGTCATACCAAGGTACAAAATATATCGGAAGGTCAGAACAGGTCGTACTGGTGTGGCAGTGGCACTATACGTTAAAGAAAATGTAAAATCAAATGAAGTAAAAACCTTAAATGAGCCAAAATATTCCATAGAATATGGATAGTAATTCCATGCTCCAATAATAAGAATATAGCTGTAGGGATATATTATCGACCACCTGCTCGGGGCAGTGATAGTGACTATGAAATGCTAAGGGAGATTAGAGAGGCTATCAAATTTAAAAACTCGATAGTAGTGGGGGATTTCAACTATCCCCACATTGACTGGGTACACGTCACCTCAGGACAGAATGCAGAGATAAAATTTCTTCATACGTTAAATGACTGCTTCTTGGAGCTGCTGGTTCTGGAACCCATAATGGAAGAGGCTATTTTTTATTTAGACCTAAGTAGAGCACAGAATCTGGTTCAAGAGGTAAATATAATGGGACCTCTTGGAAATAGTGACCATAATGTAATAACATTTAACATCCCTGTGGTGGGAAAAATACCTCAGCAGCCCAACACTGTGGCATTTAATTTCAGAAAGGGGAATTACACAAAAATGAGGCAGTTAATTAAACAGAAATTAAAAAGTACAGTGACAAAAGTAAAATCTTTGCAAGACACATGGAAACTTTTCAAAGACACCATAATAGAGGCCCAATTTAAATTTATACCCCAAATTAAAAAATACAGTAAGAGAACCCAAAAAGTGCCACCATGGCTTAACAACCAGGTAAAAGAAACAGTGACATATAAAAAGACATCTTTTAAAAAGTGGAAGTCAAATCCTAGTGACGAAAACAGAAAGGACCATAATCTTTGTCAAACTAAGTGTAAAAATATAATAAGAAAAGCCAAAAAGGCGTTTGAAGAACAGCTAGTCAAAAAAATCAAAAAGTAATAGTAAAATGTTTTTTTAAGTACATTAGAAGCAGGAAGAGGGCTAAACAACTAATGGGGCCCTTGCACAATCGAGATGATAAAGGAGCTCTCAAAGATGATAAAGTCATAGCGGAGAAGCTAAATTAATGATTTGCTTCAGTTTTCACGGCTGAGGATATTGGGGAGATTCCCAAACCTGACAAATCTGAGGAATTTTCCAGACTGAGGTGTCATTAGAAGAGATTTTGGAACAAATTGATAAACTTACCACTAACAAGTCACCGGGACCAGATGGCATTCACCCAAGAGTTCTGAAAGAACTCAAATGGGAAATTGCGGAATTATTAATTGTGGTTTGTATCCTATCCTTTAAATCGGCTTTTGTACCTAATGATTGGAAGATAGCGAACATGACACCAATATTTTAAAAGGGCTGTAGAGGTGATCTGGCAATTACAGACCAGTAAGTCTAACATCAGTACCGGGAAAATTAGTTGAAACTATAGTAAAAAATAAAATTGTCAGACACATGGATGTAAATACTTTGCTGGGAGAAAGTCAACATGATTTCTGTAATGGGAAATCATGCTTTACTAATCTGCTAGAATTCTTTGAGGGGGGTCAACAAATATGTGGACAAGGGGGATCCAGTGGATTTAGTGTACTTAAATTTCCAGAAAGCCTTTGACAAAGTCCCTCAACAAAGGCTCTTTAGTAAAGTACAGTAAGTTGTCATTAGATAAGAGGGAAGGTCCTTTCATGGATTGATAACTGGTTAAAAGCCAGGAAACAAAGGGGAGGAATAAATGGTAAGTTTTCCGAGTGGAGAGAGGTAACTAGTGGGGTACCCCAAGGGTCTGTCCTGGGACCAATCCTATTCAACGTATTTATAAATGATCTAGAGAAGGGGGTAAACAGTGAGGTGACAAATTTGCAGATGATACCAAACTGCTCAAGATAGTTAAAACCAAAGCAGCCTGTGAAGAGCTTCAAAAAGATCTCACCAAACTAAGTGATTGGGCAACAAAATGGCAAATGAAATGTAATGTTGATAAATGTAAAATAATGCACATTGGAAAAAAAGAAACTCAACTATACATACGATATGATGGGGACTAATTTGGCTACAACTACTCAAGAGAGAGCTCTTGGAGTCATTATGGTTAGTTCTCTGAAAACATCCACTCAGTGTGCAGCATCAGTGAAAAAAGCAGATAGAGAGTTAGGAGTCATTAAAAAGGGATAGAGAATAAGATAGAAAATATCTTATTGCCTCTGTATAAAACCATGGTACGCCCACATCTTGAATACTGTGTACAGATGTGGTCGCCTCATCTCAAAAAAGATATATTGGTATTGGAAAAGGTTCAGAAAAGGGCAACAAAAATTATTAGGGGGTTGGAATGGGTCCCATATGAAGAGAAATTAAAAAGATTTGGACTTTTCAGCTTAGAAAAGAAGAGACTAAGGGGGGATACAATAGAGGTCTATAAAATCATGACTGGTGTGGAAAAAGTGAATAAGGAAAAGTTATTTACTTATTCCCACAATATAAGAACCAGGGGTCACCAAATGAAATTAATAGGCAGCAGGTTTAAAACAAAAGGAAGTTTTTCTTCACTTAGCGCATAATCAACCTGAGGAACTCCTTACCAGAGGATGCAATGAAGGCTAGAACTTTAACAGGGTTCAAAAGAGAGCTAGATAGAGTAATGGAGGTTAGGTCCATCAATGGCTATTGGCCAGGTTGGGTAGGAATGGTGTCCTCTGGAAGTGGAAGACAGGGGAAGGATCACGTGAGGATTACCTGTCATGATCCCTCCCTCCGGGGCATCTGGCATTGGCCACTGTTGGCAGACAGGACACCGGTCTAGATGGACCTTTGGTCTGAACCAGTATGGCCATTCTTATGACATGTTCACTATGCAGCTGAGCAAATGGCACATCCGTGCACAGCACAGCTGTTATATCAGTGGTGTTTGGCGTGTTTTCATGTTCCCCTAAGTGCCAAATCAAAAACCAGGTTCACTGGAATGCTCAAGGGCACTTCTCAGTGAGGGTTGTTAACCTGCTAATTTTCAATGTATATTTTGTTTAGATTACAATGCCATTTGTCATGGATGAACTACAGTGCACTAGCTTTCAAGATCCTTCACAGCCTATCCTCACCCCACCTATTCATTCATCATTCAGAATGGTGAGGTCACTGCCCACCTCCACCCAGCCCATGAGGCCAGTCACCATGCCCTCTTGTCAAATTTTCAAGCAAACACCTGTGTGCTTTCTCTCATTCTCCCCCAGGTATATTGTGATGTCCACAGGTTTCAAGAGCTGGTGTTCCTTCTAGGTGAGTTCTCACCACATTAACCCAGAGAGAGTCCCATTTAAACCCCACACTTGTACACATCTGCAAAACCACTTCATTATCCGCCGTCCAATCTTTCCTCAAAACTCTCCTTTGCTGGGATGCCTACAGAAATTTTTTTGACTAATGTCATCTGTTTCTTTGGATACAGCCAAACTGATGTGGGACTACACCTGTTGTCTCTTGTCTTACAATCTAAGTATAAATTCTTTGGGGAAGGGGCCATCATTTTGATCTGTGCATGTACACCACCTGGCAAAATGGTGTCCAGGCCTGGGGCACGTAGGTGCTTTGAAGCAATACAAATAATAGAATATGGTGCTTTTCTCCACTAGGATTTTACACTGAGATAACTATAGCATGCTATAGTTATCTCAATGGTAAAAAAAAAAATCTTTGTGGAAGTGAAGACAAATCCTTATTTGCATTTCCATTGCAGCATTAGAATCATTAACAAAGAGTTGAAAACATATAGGTGGTGTTTTCAAAAAATTATTTGTGATGCAAAACAGTTGCTTAGAAAGAAAACACTTAGGCAACCTTAACTCTAGACATTTGCACTCATGCTATAGCATAGACACACACTTCATGACATAGAGGAAAGCAACCACTGTCACAATTTTCTTCAGGTCTCAGAGTTCTGCCAAAGCCTAGAGTCACTTACTTTAGCCAGGTATGCAGCATTTCTTATTGTCTCCACCATCTCTCTGCCTGCAGGGTGCACCTTTGCCACATGCATCCACATTCTCTCCCAAGTCTGCCCATCAATAGGGAAGCCACTTTTATTGACAAGGAAAAGCACACCCCCGTCTTTGTCTTCTTCTTCCGAGCCCCCGTTGTTGGCTGTGCTGACAGGCCGAGCATGAGTGCTCCTTGATCGGCCCCCTTTGGCTCCCTTGGGATGGGGGCAGTGGTGGGCATTGGAAGTAGAGCCCGTCATGATGCGTTTGAATTGCTAGAGCAGTCCAAGTAGGAAATGTGTATACAGTTCAATGCCACAACAAAGAAGCCTTCATCTCACTTGCTGCCACAGCAATCAGGCAAAGGAGTTGTTATTAGCTAAAATTAGCCAGTGTGAGTGCTGCTGGGTTTGTTCTCTTGTGGTCTGAATCTAAAATCAGAAGAAAGTGACAAAGAGAAAGCATGTTAGCAGCAGAGGAGCAGAGCTTGTGTACAACAGTCAGCTTACTGCATCCCGAAGGGTTGGCAGGCAAGAGGATAGCAACATGGCTAGATCCCTTCCGTGTCAGAGAGTAGCACTTGACAATGGACTATGGAATAAGGCGAAAGAGGCAGCTAAGACTGACAGACAAAAGAACAACAGCGATCCATACAAACACCCCTCCTGAGGCATCACACAAGGAAGACTATAGTTCCCTAACTAGGTCTCACTCCATATTGCTCCTGGGCTTCCCACAGAGAGATGACAAGTGACCTGAATCCGGCTAGATCCCTCTCCATATCACACCTAGGGCTGCCAAATGAATACACGCTAGCACTCTGCTAGATTCCTGTCTGCACCACTCGGGGCCATTTGGCACAAGGGGAAAATGTGAACGTAATCTATCCCCCCTCCCCCGGAACCAAAGCCCAGAGTCCCTGCTCTCCATACTCATTCCTCTTTCCCCAGAGGCTGGGGATCTGTCAGCCAGCAGCAGCACAGAGCCAGACTGCAGCACCAATAGTGTGATACTCGGCTCAGCTCGGGAAGGGTCGGTTCGCAAGCGATCCCCAGCAGCAGAGGGCTGGGCGCCTGCCTGCTTCCCCAGCTGCAGCCGCCCATTCCACACCCCCGACCTGCCCCCTTACCTGGTCGCAGCGGGATTCATTGCACCGTGGGCCCTCCGGGAGGCTGGGGCTGCTGTTGCCTCTTGCGCCTCAGTCCACGTTCCATTATCAAGTGTTACTCTCTGACACGTAACCATGTTACTTGGCAGCCGCCGACATTCTGAACGCCACTATTGGCTGCCGCAACAAAGAAGGGCTGGAAGGCCATGCCCAGCAGCTTTGCAGAATTCTGGTTGGCTATGATCTTGCCAGGGGGAGGGGCCACCAGGGGAAATCTTATCTTTTGGAGCTGGAGCTGAGATACTATCAGTGCGTTTGATTCATAAATCGGAGTGTACACTAGACATTTGCAAGTATATGAAGATTAAATCTCTAGCACCCGCAGTATTCTGTGGCGGAACATTTATTTAACATTCTGTACTAATTATTCTGTGCGAGGTTAGATGATTTATTTCTCTGTCAACCACAGGCTTCAAGACACCACACAGCTACTCTCCCTGTCCCAAAGAGTTGAGTCCACAACCTCTGGCCTGTAACCAGATCACTTTTAGGTGACCTTTGCATCTATACAGATCCAGTTACAAACCGTGGTCTAAAGCAATGATTATTATAGAACTTCATTGCACTAAAAACCGACTTCTGACAACAAAAATTGCTGGAGCTAGCATATCAAAAAATGGCCTGGAGCTAGCATATCACTACCGCCTCCATAATGCCTTGTGGTTTGTTTTTAAATAAGGGACAGCAATTGTGATTCTCCCATCAGTGTTCGCAGGACACTTCTCCACCTTGGCATACAACTCCCAAAGCAAACTACATCCATTTACTTTCTTCCCCAGATTCCTTGCTCTATACACAGCTGTTAATTTCACTGTGCAACACTTTCATCATTCAGATGATCCATGCTTGTAAAACCAGCTGCTCTCCTTTTTCTTCCTTAATGTGCTTTGTAAATTCCAGTAAGGGGCTCTGCAGCAATGTAAGTTGCATGCATTTAGGAAGGGCACCCAGATGACAGCGATCACCCCAGTAACCATGGCAGAAGTCCCTGACACTTTTAAAAGTGCTGTATTTTCACCAATGTATGTGACACTAAGGATTGATCACAATCCACTGGGAGCAAGCACAGAGTGAAAGGGTAGTCTTGTGGGCAACGCATTAGAACAAGAGTCAGGAGAGCTTCTATTGTGTGTGACCGAAGGCAAAACATTTAACTCTTATGTGCCTCCGTTCCCCATCCATAAAATGGCCCTGCCTGTTGTGAGGATACTTACATTAACATCTATGAGACGCTTGGATACAGTGAATTCTTGTGTGTGTGTTGGTAGAACAGTGATAGAAATTTTTAAAATTGCAGTAAGACCAGGTCCAAGAACAAATGAGTTCTTCAGTTGCACTGAGCAGACAATAAAGATGAGTCAGAAAAATCAACTGGACATGCCTAAGTGGTTACACCTATGCTGCTGAGTATGGGAGATAGGTCTGATTTCCAGAAGCTCAAGCGTTCACTGAACATACATGTTTGCATGGCATTTCCTGTGTGTGTGCATACAATTCACATATCTGAATGTGCAACTGGCCAGCTAGATGTAGAGACACCCACTGCACATGTACAGTCACAGCAACTGCTTACTTATATAAACACACCCTACCCTTAAGAACTGCAACTTTTCTGTAATAGTTTTTAAACTGCCTTTTGATTCTGCATTAAACCCTTTCTAAAGTATTTCATTATTCTTCCCTAAAGTATTTCTGTACATTGTCTCTTGCTGTTGTCTGTGACCCAAACAATTATATAAGAATTTTTTACTCCAACAAAACATGGAGGACATGGTATTTCATGTCAGGGCTCCCCATGTGCTATTGATTTCCAAGTTTGATTTTCAACAGAAACAAATGTGTTAGGAGTACTTGTTAGCTGTGTTGACCTCACTGTTTTGGTTAAACTTTTGTCTGGCCTTTGACAAAATTAGGGAATCATAGAGTGGCTGATTGTTAGTCTGAAGAGTTTTCATTATAATTTTGATTTTGTAGTTATAGAACAGAATCACAGACCACTAGAACAGGAAGGGACCTCAAGACATCATCGAGTCTAGTCCCCTGCCCTCACAGCAGGGCCAAAAACTGTCTAGATCAGAGCTACTCAAATTTGGAAGCCCTGGGGACCAAAATGATACTCATGGCATATGCCGAGGGCTGCAACATAAGCGTGGTTGCATATATATGCAAATATATATGCTAATATATGCAAATATCTTCTTTCACACTGACAGGCATGAATACAAAGATTAAGGCAAGACTACACAACACGCAGGCCCCATTTAAGTCAGTTCTGCTGATGTTAATAAAAGGCAATATTTATGCACTTTCCACCCATATGACAGCACTTTTAATGAGCAATGACCGTCCAGGAATTTAACTACTAAAATGCATATCAACAGAAGACCATTATACTGACTCCTTTTTTGTTTTGGCTCCCACCCGTGGGCCATGTGTTCAGCCCCACATAAACCCAAACTGTGCCGCGGGCTGCAAACGGGCTGTGGGCCGCATGTGGCCCATGGGCCACCACGTTTTAAGTTGCCCTGGTCTAGACCATCCCTGATATATGTCTATCCAACTTGCTCTTTAGTATCTCCAGAGATGGAGATTCCACAACCTCCACTTATTCCAGTGTTTAACCACCCCAACAGGAAGTTTTCCTAATGGCCAACCTAAACCTCCCTTGCTGCAGTTTAAGCCATTGCTTCTTGTCCTATCCTTAGACACCAAGGAGAACAAATTTTCTCCCTCCTCCTTTTAACACCCTTTTAGATACTGGAAAACCGCTATCATGTCCCCTCTCAGCCTTCTCTTTTCTAAACTAAATAAGCCCAATTCTTTCAGTCTTCACTCATAGCTCATGTTCTCTAGACTGTTGATCATTCTTGTTGCTCTTCTCTGAACCTTCTCCAATTTCTCCACATCTTTCTTGAAATATGGTGCCCAGAACTGGGCACGATACTCCAATTGAGGCTTACCAGTAATCAGCATAGAGTAGAGCAGAAGAATGACTTCTCATGTCTTGCTCACAACACTCCTGTTAATGCATCCCAGAATCATGTTTGGTTTTTTTGCAACAGTGTCACTCTGTTGACTCATATTTAGCTTGTGGTCCACCATGACCCCTAGATCCCTTTCTGCAATATTTCTTCCTAGATAGTTGCTTCCCATTCTGTATGTGTGAAACTGATTTTTCCTTCCAACTGGAGTACTTTGCATTTCTCCTTATTAAATTTCATCCTGTTTACCTCAGACCGTTTCTCTAGTTTGTCCAGATCATTTTGAATTAGACCCTATCCTCCAAAGCACTTGCAATCCCTCCCAGTTTGGTATCATCTGCAAACTTAATAAGTGTACTCTCTATGCAGATATCTAAATCATTAATGAAGATATTGAACAGAACTGGTCCAAAAACAGACCCCTGCAGAATCTCAATTGTTATGCCCTTCTAGCAGGATTGTGAACCGTTAATAACTACTCTCTGAGAACAGTTATCCATCCAGTTATGCATCCACCTTATAGTAGCCCCATCTACGGTGTATTTGCCTAATGTATTGATTAGATCATGCGAGACTGTATCAAATGCCTTACTAAAGTCGAGGTATACCATGTCCACCGCTTCTCCCTTATCTAGAAGACTTGTTGGCCTATCAAAGAAAGCTACAGATTGGGTTGACATGATTTGTTCTTTACAAATCCATGCTGGCTGTTACCTATCACCTTCTTTTCTTCCAGATATTTGCAGATGAATTCCTTAATTACTTGCTCCATTATCTTCCCTGGCACAGAAGTTAAACTGACTTGTCTGTAGTTTCCTGGGTTGTTCTTATTTCACTTTTTTAAAATGGGCACTAGATTTGCCCTTCTCCAGTCTTCTGAAATCTCTCCTTTCTTCCATGATTTTTCAAAGATGATGGCTAAGGGCTCAGATACCTCTTCTCTAAGCTCCTTGAGTGTTCAAGGGTGCATTTCGTCAGGCCCTGGTGACTTGCAGGCATCTAACTTTTGTAGGTGATTTTTAACTTGTTCTTTTTTTATTTTATCTTCTAAACCTACCCCCTTTCCACTGGCATTCACTATGTTAGGCATCCCTTCATCATCAGACTTCTTGGTGGAGACTTAAACAAAGAAGTCATTAAGCACCTCTGTAAGAGTAAGAGTAATTAATTAACTCTTTTATGAATGCAAGCCATCCTTACTACTCTACATTTCCTCAGCTCTTGCCCCCTAACATACCTACTTTACTTAAGCTACATCAATGACATCTTCATCATATGGACCCACAGAAAAGAGACTCTCGAAGAATTTCACAAGGATTTCAACAACTTCCATCCCATCATCAAACTCAGCCTGGACCAGTCCACATGAGAAATCCACTTTCTGGACTCTACAGTACAATTAAATAATGGACACATTTCCACCAACCTATATCAGAAACCCTCCGACCACTACATTTACCTTGCCTCTAGCTTCCATCTGCACTGATTACCAGTAAGCTTCCAGACACATTTCTCAGTCTATTGTATACAGCCAAGCCCTATGATACAACTGGATTTGCTCCAATCCCACAGACAGAGACAAACACCTACAAGATCTTTACAGAGCATTACTAAAACTGAAATACCCATCTGGAGAAATGAAAAAACAGACCAACAGAACCAAAAAAGTACCCAGACATGAACTACTTCAAGACAGACCCAAAAAGGAGAATAACAGAATTCCACTTGTTATCAGCTAGGCAACGTCTAGACTGCAAGCCTCTTTCAAAAGAGGTTTTTTCAAAAGATACTTTTGAAAAAGAGCATCTAGACAACAATCAGTACTTTCGAAAAAGCAAGCTGCTTTTTTGAAAGAAAGCACCCAGGCAGTCTGGATGCTCTCTTTCAAAAAAACACAGTTTGCATTACATAGCGGCTTTTTTTGAAAGAGCACTTTAAAAAAAGGTGTTCTTCCTCATAAAATGAGGTTTTCCACGGTCGAAAAAACTGCCACGTTCTTTCAATTTACTGTCGACAGAATGCGGCAGCAGTCTAGACACAGGTAAAGATTTTTTGAAAAAAGACCACTTTTTTCGAAAAATCCCTGTAGTCTAAACACACTCCTACAGCCCTTTTCCAGAAGATCCCTTATTCCTTCTTGAAAGTAGGAATAAGGGATC